GGGTGGGGAGATGGGGTAACTGGGTGATGGACATTAAGGAGGGCACGTGATATAATGAGCATTATATATAATAGGGTATTATATAAGACTGATGAATCACTGACTTCTACCTCAGAAACTAATAAACTAATAGTACATTATATGTTAATTAATTGAATTTAAACAAAAAAACTAACATTAAAAAAAAAGAAACAGACCTGGGTTGAATGAACAAAAGGGCTTTGGCTGGTGTTTTTTCTTTTTCCTTTGATATTTGTTTCTTGTGCCCTCCCTCTAGTCCCTCCCAATGACTCTCTCCTGGAGACTGTTGTCTTACACATTCTATTCTCTTCCTTCCTCTCTTTCTGTGAACCCCTTCAGCTTGAACCATTATTACTGCAGATGACTTCCAGACTCATCTCTAGCCTGTTTTTGCTCTGAAATCCAGTCCTGTATTTCCAGGCTTATTTTTCCCATAACATCTTCACTTGGATATCACGTCATATTGAACATGACACACATGTATTTGTCCAGCAAACATTTTTGGATCATTTCCTCCATGCTAAATCTGAAGATATATCAGTGAACAAAGCAGCAACATGTCCTGCCTTTAGGGATCTCACAGTCCACCGGGAAAGGCAGATATCAAAAAAGGAATGACACATAAATACAGAAGAGTAACAAGTGTGCAAAAATGCTAGAAGGCACCGCTTCATCTTTATAGTTTCCCTCATCTCCATCCATTCTCTCCCTCCCTGCTCCCTCTTTACATTGGAGGAATCTCACTGTGACCTGGGCTCTGGTTCCCATCCCACACTTCCTGCCTTTCAGTAGGTGTCTCCCCCCCACCCACACACTGTCTACTTCTCCTTCTCCAGGGTCCTTCTCATCAGCATCCATACAAGCTCTAGAACAGTGTGCACAAGAATCACCTGGAAGAGATTTCTATTTGTCTACTTATTTATTAAAAATTTCTATTTTTTATTGAGGTACAACTGATATACAACATTATATTAGTTTCAGGTGCACAACAAAATGATTGGATATTTGTATATATTGAGACAGGATCACAATAAGTCTAGTTAACATCCATCACCACATATAACTACAATTTTTGCACGTGTGTGTTGAGAACTTTTAAGACCTACACTCTTTGCAACTTTGAAATATACAACACAGTATTATTTACTATAGTCCCCATGCTGTACATTATATCCCCAGGACTTACTTACCTTATAACTGGAAGTTGTACCTTCTGATCCCTTTTACTCGTCTTGCCCACTCCCACTCCCTGCCTCTGGTAACCACCAATCTGTTCTCTGTATCTAGAGCTGTTTTGTTATAGCTTCCACATATAAGTGAGATCATACAGTATTTGTCTTTCTCTGTTTGACGTACCTCGCTTAGCATAATGGCTTCAAGGTCCATCCATGTTGTCACAAATGGCAGGATTTCCTTCTTTTTTATGGCTGAATAATATTTCATTGCATACATATGAGATTATTTCTAAAATGTAGGTTTTGGCCCTTGTCCCTTGGGGTTCCTGAGTCAGTAAGTTAGGGGTAGGGGCTGGGATCTGCATTTTAACAAGCTCCCAACCTGTGGTCCAGGGGCCACACTTTGAAAAGCTCTGCTCTTCCAGCATCCATCTTAACAAGCCTGTTTCTTTCCCAGCTCTGCCCTCTGTCATTGCCAAGTTTCTTGAAATAATTCCCTATAAACACTATCTCCATTTTCCCATCTTCTACTCACTGTGTATATATTTCCTTTGCAGATTTTATCAGAGTAACTCATGTAAATAGTTTTAGAAGTCCAGTAGTCCTACAAAAAATACATCACAAAAAATAGTCATCTCTGATGCACATCTGATCCTTGTTGTTCGGAGGCAGCAACTCCCAACTTTTAGCTTTTTCTCCTGGTATTTGCACCTACAGACTTAAACATCACATTCATATTACATCGTTATTCATAGATTTTTAACAAAAGACCTTAAATGAATCTTTTATTGGGCTAAATATTGCAAGACTCAAAATAGCTTCTTGTCCCAATTTTGCCTCCGAAAAGACTTAATAATTTATATGTATCCAGTATCATGTGGAATGAATTTTTCAAAACAAAACAAATTTTTAAAATTTGAATCTTCTTATCAGTTAACTTAATTTTTAGCAGCAATTATTAAATAAAATGAAAAAGAAATTCTCTAATAGCAAATTACACAAGCCCAAGAGAGAATAATCCACGCCTATTACCCTAGTGTCTTAGAACATAATTTATCTAGCAATTGGCTTGCAAATTTTAAAATCAACTGCATTAAGACATGACAGCACATTTGCTGTTAACTCCTGCTTGTGTCTTAAGAAAACTCTTATTGAAAGAAAAAAAGTTTCACAGGTAGCAGGTGCAGACTGGTGATTTAGGCAATTGGCAACTAAAAATCAGTCTTTATTAGCATTGCCAGCCACAGCTGCAGTGAAGTATGGAATGTTCTTCAACATGCTCCAAGTCCATGAACTGGCATGTCAGAATTCTTCCTTTTCTTTTTTGCAAAGCAGAATACTAACAGAGTTTTCTAAATATGCACCTTCCTCTTCATCAGCTCTGCGGTGGGGACACCATCAGTCTCAGCCTGTGGTGTTGTTGCTGATTTCTTCTTCCTCCTCCTCCTTTTTTTCCTCAAAAATTTTATTGTGGTAAAACACGCATAACCTAAAATTTACCATTTTAACCTTTTGAAGTGCACAGTTCAGTGGTATTAAGTGCATGTGCATGGTTGTGCAACCATTGCTGGTGACTTCTTCCTGAGTCCCCCTCCTAGAATCACCACACTCAGGCCCTGTTTTGCATCCTTGCTGTCCAGGTACTTGAAACGTGGGTGGGGGCAGACGTCTGATGCTACAACTTGGTCTTGCTGCTCATACCCTTCCAGAAGCTGTTCTAGGGCAGCACAGCTCCAACCTCCATGGGCCCCTAATGTGCTAGACTTTTCCCTGTGGCCATGTAGTCATTTCCGAATAGGTGAACTAAGACTTGAACAACTGTTTTCTTATAACCAGTTGAATAAATCTTAATGTCCTTATAAATGTTCTCTTTTCTGAATAGAGTGCTGCCTGGTCAATTCTTGTGCCAGCAATCTAGAGGCCTTCCCTAAGCATTCAACTGCCTGTTGAAGTGGGCCTCATTTTCAAACATGTTGGCTGTTGATAGAATTGTGCAGTCTTTTCCAGATCTACATTTTCTATGAGCTTTCCAACTGGTTCCAGGGCCTGCTGTGCTGGGAGTGCTGTTCTCATGAGTGGGGGAAGCGGCAGAGGAGAGAATCTTCAAGCAGACTCCTCACCGAGCAGGAAGCCTGACATGGGGCTGCATCTCATGACCCAGGAGATCATGACCTGAGCTGAAGCCAAGAGTTGGACACTTAACCGACTGAGCCACCCAGGCGCCCCCATCAGTTGCTAGTTTCTGCATGTCCTTCAGCATTATGCCTGTTGCTCAGAAGCTTTGTTTTTCCATATTCAGAAGTGGCATTGTCATAATCTGGCTTCCACTAAAAAAAGCAGTTTTCAGGTGTATCTCTGCTTTGATAAGATGTTAATTTCTCTTTTGAGCCATCTTTCCACAGTCTGTCCCTCACGTGAAGGGCAAGAAAGCCTCTTCCTTTTGGGCCCTGAAAGAGCCCTAGTTAGTGATTCATAGATTTGTTTGTTTGTTTGTTTCTGATGTTATCTATTTACTTATTCATTGTCTTTCTCCCTTACTTGAATATAAGCGTCATACCTATATTTTACCACTATGTCTCATGCCTGGAATGCCACATGCCTTGCAGAAGCTCCTTAAGGAATATTTTTGAATGAACGAGAAGTACTGGACACAGAGAATGCCTATCAGAGAGAAACTTAGATCAGTCTCCTAGATTCTTCTCTAATCCATTCCCACTGCTACCATTGCTCTAGCACTTTATACTAAAAATTAAATAAAGGAAAGAAAGACATCATCCCAAGGATCTTCCCCTACCATCTCCCTGTGTCTCTTTACTGAGAGAACTTTTACTAACTGCCTAACACATTAGTTCTGACCCAGACTGCCTAAAGAGAGCCTGCAACATCTGGCCTCATCCAAAATTTACAGACTGACTGGCCTTCATTTCATGCATAACAACCCATGGGCTCTCTTCAGGAAGGGACAGTATGCTGCAAGTCCCAAAGAGTGAAGGGGGGATTTGCACTTGAGGGTCTCTGCTCAAGTGCCCTCCCATTTTAGTGTGATCTACTCCTTATTTCCACCTAGCTAAGGGAATGCTGCTGGGGAGATCTGTCCACATGACCTCTATGTTTTCAAACAACACATTTTCTCCTTCATCTGAGCTCCAACAATCCTTAGTGTTCGAGAGATGATAGGCAGTTTCTATTTGTGTTGCCTCCTTAGCATGGGTTAAATAAGAAGATTCACCTAGGCAAATAGGAGTGACAAAAAACCCCACAAAAACAAAAAAACTGAGGACCCTGACTAGTAAAATTCTTGAGGAAAGAAAAAAATACAGAGGTGATTGATCAAATGATTCATTCATTCAATAGAACATTTGAGTCAGCAGTCATGCCCATGGCATCCGCATAAAAAGAAAAAAAAAAAAAGAAGAGGAGAGGAGAGAACTACCATAGCTGCACCCTATAAGGTACATGCTTCCACATGCAGGGTTAACTACAGTCTGGGTACCATAGTTCTGCTGACTCAACAGAAACAAGAATGACAGGTATGTGCAAGGCTCCTAATTAAACATAAAAAAGTGCACAAGTGGGGGCGCCTGGCTGGCTTGCTCAGTACAGCAGTCAGTGGAGCATGCAACTCTTTTCTTTTTTGGGACTTTATTTATATGAGAGAGAGAAAGAGAGAGGGCATGAGCAGGGGAAGGGGCAGAGGGAGAGAAAGAAGCAGATGCCCTGTTGAGCACAGAGTCCACATAGGGTTCAATCTCAGGACCCTGGGATCATAACCTGAGCTGAAGTTAGACGCTTAACCAACTAAGTCACCCAGGCGCCCCAAGTGTGTGAATCTTGATCTGGGGTTGAGAGTTCAAGCCCCACATTTGACATAGAGATTACTTAAAAAAATATCTTTAAAAGAAATGTGAAAGTGAGTGCCATTATTCCTGAATAAAAATTAATGTACTTTAGGGAGGATTATAGGTCCTGGGCCCACTGCCACCTTTGAGCCCTCCACGTCCTTGATCACAGCTTCTGGGCACACTACCAAGACAACCACAGCCTCAGGGGCCACTGCAGAGTATGTCTCTACAATGGACTCCTCCACAGGCCTCAGAGCAACTCAAACTTTCAGACGATCTCGGTCTCCACCACAGCTTCTGAGACCACCACAATCATCACCACAGCCTCTGAGGCTACCACGCCCTCCATCACAGAATCTGTACCTACCATGACCTCTAACACTGCCTCTAATACCACTACAGTTTCCACGAAAGCCCTTGTGACAATTGCTAAGTCTGTGCTCTCCTCAGTCACTCCCAATAACTGCCGAGACCACCACAACATCTGTGTCCATCACAGCCTCTGAGAGCACCGCTTCCTCCATGATGACATTTGTACCCACCATAGTCTTCACTCTGACCTCTGAAATCACCATAGATCCTAGGGCCACCACAGATTTCACTGCAGCTTCAAACACCACTGCAGATTCTGTGTCCACCACAGGCTCTGAGATCACCATGCCCTCTACATTAATATCTGTGCCCACAATGGCCTCCTCCTCTGCCTCTGAAATCTCCATAAGTTTGGACACCACCAAAGCTTCTACTACAGCCCCTGCGATCATCACACCTTCCACTACAATGTCTGTGCCAACCACTTTCTCCAACACTGCCTCTGAGACCACCCCAGTCTCTGAATCCACTGCGTTCTTCATCATAGCCTCTGAGATCACCAAACCATGTCTTCCATAATAATGCCTGGGCCCATGACTACCCCCAAAATAAGCTCTAAGACCACAAGAGCCTCTATTACCACCATGGCCTCCACCACCAATGCTGAGAACACTTTTGTTTCCACTGAAGCTTTGGAGAACACTCTGGCCACTACCACAGCCTCAGAGATGACTAGGGTTTCCATTAAAGCCTCTGTCACAGCTGTAGAGTCTGTGCCTTCCACAACTGCTGAAAGACCTGTTAAAACCACCACAGCATCTGTGCCCACCACATTCTTTGCCATAGCCTCTGAAGCCATCACAGGCCTCTGAGACCGTCAAAGATTCTGACTCCACTATAGTCCCTCCCACCACTTCTAATACCACCAGATCCTCCACCATAGCATCTCTACCCATGACAGTCTCTACTACAGCCTTTGAGTCCACTGTGGCCTTCAGCATAGTCCCTGAGACCACCACGTTTTTCACAATAATATCTCTGCTCCTCATAGCTTCTACCACAGGCTCTAAGAACACAACAGCCTCTGAGACCACCATGGTCTCCACCATCACTGCTGGGACCACTATCATCTCCACTGAAGCTTCTGAGATCACTCTGGGTTCTTCTGTAACCTCTGTACCCACCATACTCATCACTGCAGGCTCTGAGACCACCAGGGCTCCCAGCACAGCCTCTGAGATAATCACATCCTCCACCACAATGTCCGTTCCAACCACAGCCTTCAGCATAGCCTCTGAAATCACCATAAGTTCTTCAACTATCCCAGTCTCTGAAATAACTTCTGAGGCCCTCAAGTCCAGCATTATAGCATCTGTGCCAATGACAGCCTCTATCCCAGACTTTGAGGTCTCTGGGGCCTCTACCAAGGTCTCTGAGACCACCATGGCTTCCACAATTACATGTGGGCCCACAACAGTCTGTAAGAACACAGTTTTTGAGACTACCATGGCCTCCACCACCACCTCTCTGAGACCACCATGGCATCTGCCATCACTGCTGAGACCACTAAGATCTGGACTGATCTCTCTGACAGCACTGTGTCTTTGACCATAGCCTCTGAGGCAATGACAGAATCTACTAAAGTCTTTGTGACACTTGGAGAATCTGTGACCTCCACAATAATTCCAGCATCTGCAGAGACCCTGACTGTCTCAACCACAGCTTCTAAGAGCCCCACAGTTTCCTTCTTAGCATCTGGGCCCACCATATTTTCTTCCACAGATTCTGGGGACACCAAAGCTTCCACCTCACCTTCTGGACCCACCACAGCCTCAGAGGTCACCACATCTTCAGGTTTGGCCTCATCACCCACCTTGGCCTCTAACTCTGCCTCTGGGGTCCCCACAGTCTCTACCAGGGTCTCTGGACTTTCACAGTCTCTTCTATTACCTTGGTGCCCATCAAGGCCATTGACTTTTCTACTCAGTCCATCACCAACACAGCTGTATCAGGTACTGACCACCACGTCTTCTCTAAGCACACACATTTACCTCCAGTGTCAACCATCGCCTTTTTGCCTGTTTCTGTCATTTCTGCTCTAGACTCTAGTCAAGCCATCACTCCTGTTAGATATACTTCTGTTCTCTTTTCTTGAATCCTATTTATTTCTACTCTGGTCTCACCTTCTTTTGTCCAGTGTCCATCATTTCCAACCTAATCAGAAACACTTCTTTGTAAGTATCTCCCCCCAACACACACACACACACACACAC